TGATGAATTTGCTGCTGAATTCTAAAAGAAATTTGAAAGACACTTAATACCACTACTTCTCAAACACTTTAATGAAATGGAAAGGGAAGCAATGCTACTAAATTAAATTCTGGAAGCAAGTGTTACTCTAATATCAAAACCAGAAAAGGACCCAACTAAGAAAAAGAACTTTAGGCTACATCCATAATGAACATAGATGCAAAATCCTCAATAAGATACTGGAAAACATAATGCATCAAATCGTCAAGAAGATTATAGACCATAACCAAGTAGGATTCATCCCAGTGATACAAAGATGGTTCAATGAATGCAAATCAGTTAATTTAATATACTGCATTAAGAAAGCCAAAGACAAAAACTATGTCATCATCTCAATAGATTCAATCTTTCTTTTCATGATGATAACTGCAAGCCTGTCTTCTATATCTGAGATCCTGTCCTCTCATTAGCTTAATCTGTTGTGGATACTTTCTTTTCTTTTTTTTTTTTTTTATAAATTTTATTTATTTGTGTGTGTGTGTGTGTGTGTGTGTGTGTGTGTGTGTGGCCAGCTCAGCCCACCAGGGGGTGGGGCTGGCTGGCATGTGGTGCTGGGGGATTGAACCGCGGTCCCTGTGTTTTACTAAGCTTGTTCTAAGTAGGTGCTTTAGACCACTGAGCCATCTCACCAGCCCTGTTGTGGATACTTTCAATGAAATCTTTGTTCTTTTGGATATGTGCTTGAATATACCTTATGGATTTCTTTTCTTTCCTATGTTGAGCATTCATGATTTCCTTTTTTATTTTTTGTGGTATGGGGGATTGAGGACCCTGTGCTTGCCAGGCAAGCACTTATTCTACTGAGCTATCTCCCTGGGCTTCCATTACTTTCTTATGCTCCTCTATTTTTTGTCTGCATCAGCTCCAGAGTCACAAAGCATTAATTGTGGACACCATCTCAACAGTTATCTGAGAAAGTAGTTGACTTGATTTTTCCTAGAGCCTTATCCAATTGCTTTGTTAATACTTCAGAGAGGCCAGGTGGGTAGCTTTTGCATTGTCCCACCTCATTTTCTCTGGGTTTACCTTTGGTGAACTGGGTGTCTGGGGTTACATCTTGTATAAGTGTCTTTTAATTTTTTTAAAGTTTAATTTAATTCCTGTGGTGATGCTTTCCAATTGCCTATGGTGGATTTCTTTATTGCTAGTATTTAGAACCCTTAGGAAATGACTATTGCTCTGAGTTATTTTCAGGTGTAACTGGTTTTTGGGTTTTGAGTTTATTGCAAGATCCTGTGCTTTCAATTTGCTGGGGATGAAAAATTGCTGCCTATTCTTGGTTCTTTGGCACTGTGCCCCAGTATTTTCTGTGACTCTCAGTCAATTTCAGCCTCCAACTACCAGGAAGAAAGTTGTTTAGAACAATTATATCACTTTTGGCTATAATAGTACCATTAAAAAATGACAAAAGGATCAAACATAGCCTAGAACATCACAAACAAAGCTAACCATTAATTTTCAACCTTTAATCATATGAATTAGATTTATGGTTATATAATGAAATCTAAAACAAACCAGAAAATTATATGCAGTATACAAGTTCTTAATATGTCAATTTTGCATTCAGGGGTCAAAATTTAAAGTGGGTTAGGGAGAAAATAGAGAAGTGGTAAAAGAGGAAGAGGTAAGAAGTAAAGCTGGAAGACAAAGGGGGATAATGCTAATTTTGGGAAACTGGTGCAGAAGACTAGAGGGAAAGAGAGAAGGAAGAGATAAAAAGATCAAAGATCTAAACATTAAAACAGAAACACTAACTCTGTTGGAAGACAGAATAGGCACAACTCTTGAAGACATTGGTGCAGGCAAAGGCTTTATGAGCAAAACCCCAAGTGCACATAACATAACAGAACAGTCAACAGAACAGAAGAACTACTACAAAGAAGTTATTATTCACATTCATATTCTGATAAAAACAAGGTTAAATAATAAAAGGGAAAAAAACTAAAATCAAAACCAAAACTACCATTACAATAACAGACAACAAATGAGAGAAAGGGGGGGAGAGAGAGAGAGAGAGAGAGAGAGAGAGAGAGAGAGAGAGAGAGAATAATAAAAAAAGAATAAAGTCCACTTACAGGTATGTCTCTGCTGTCACATGGGCAACATGTGGAGACAACTTCCGAATCTGTACCAGCAAGCCAGCAGTAGCTCTTTGGCAGAGTACTGGATAATCTCAGTGAGCCTGCACCTTCTGGTTAAGACCAAACTCAGTGGGCTTTGCAGCTGTCAATGCACTTTCTGTGGGCCTGAGCCCAGCTGGGAACCACTAGATGAAATCAACAGCCACTCTGTGTTCTTAATTCAGTCAGTGTTCTCCAAGATGTCTCCTAGACAATTAATCTCTTGCTCAGGATAACTGAACCCTCAGCACTCACTGCCAGTAAGTCCTTCATGTCTGCTACTCCCCTCCACTGCTTCATCTCTGTGGTCACCAGCAATCACCATATGTCTTCAGGTTTGAATCATTCCTCTTGCACAGTGACTCCCATCCCAGGGAGAAGGCTACCTCCTCATTCTTTCTTGAAGTTTCTCTCTTCTCTCTCTCCATGGGCTTCAATTCATGCTTCAGATCCTTCCTGGGTCCAGGGGATCCATTTCCCTACTTCTGCTGCTTACCATTCTACTATCTTGGTGCTCCCCATGGGAATAGATGGTCTTAATCTCAATCTGATAAAAGCCATCTAAGAGAACCAAAAGTCAAGATAATACTAACTGGACAAAAACTGAAAGCTTTCTTTCTAAAATCATGAATAAGACAAAGGCATCTACTGACACCACTCTTACTCAATATAGTTTTGGAAACATTATCCAAAGCAATTTGACATGAGAAAGAAATAAAAGGAATAAGAATAGGAAAGGAATAATTTAAAAAATAATTATTTGTGGATGACATGATATTCTACATAGAAGACTCCCAACACTGCACCAGAACACTTCTAGATTTAATAACCACGTTCAGTAGCATAGCTGGATATAAAGTCAACATTCAAAAGTCAATAGCCTTCCTGCATATGAATAGTAAACTCACTGAGAGAAATTAAGGAACTGACACCTTTAATAATAGCATCCAAAAAATGAAGTACTTAGTATTAAATTTAACAAAGGAAGTAAAAGATTACTACATTGAAAACTACAGTACTAGAAAAAGGAGACTAAAGAGGATATCAGAAAATGAGAAGATCTGCCTTGCTCATGGTTTGAAAGAACCAATATAGTGAAAATGGCCATGCTTCAAAATTATTGTAAAGATTTAACACAATCCCAATCAAAATTCCAACAGCACATCTCACAAAATTAGAGAAAGAAATCCTAAAATTCATTTAAAACCAGAAGAGACCTAAAATAGCAAAGGCAATTCTAGGCAACAAAGGCAAGACGGGGCACAGTCACTGGTTTGAAATTATACTTCAAAGCTACTGTGATACTGCCAAAAAATAAAAGAAAGAGAAAGAAAGAAAAAAAAGAAAGAAAAACATAAAATTGAATAGATGAGAAGATGCAGAAAGAACTCCAGACATACTTAGCCACTTGTGCACAGCAAACAGTGCCAAAGACTTTCACTAGAAGAAAGATAAACTCTTCAGAAATGATGCTGGAAAAGCTGGCAATGTTTATTTACTAAAGATTAAAGCTAGACTCATATTTTCACCATCCATTAAACTAAAGTTAAAATAGAGCAAACTTCTAAACATTAAAACAGAAACACTAAATCTATTGGCAGATAGAACAGGCAGAACTCTTGAAGATACTAGAGCAGGCAAAGACTTTATGAACAAAACCCCAATTGCACAAGAATGATTCCAGAGAATCAACAACTGATATCTCATCTTATTAAAAAGCTTTTGTACAGCAAGAGAAACCACTAACAAAGTGCAAAGACAATTCACAGTGTGGGAGAAGTTTGCTGACAGCTGTTCCTCAGACAAAGGAACACTATCCAGAATACATAAAGAACTCAAAAAAAAAGAGAACACTCCAAATTTAAGACTCAATCCAAAAATTGGCATTTGAAATAGATACGTCTCCAATGGAGAAGTAGGAACAGCAAATAAATATATGCAGAACAATTTCAACACCATGGATCATTCAAGAAATGCAAGTTTAAACAACTCTGAGATTACTTCTCACTCCCAGAAGAATGTCTATTATCAAGAAGTCAACCGATAAGAAATGATGTCAGGGGCCCACCAGATAGTTCAGCAAACTAAAGCACCTGCTTAGGCAGAGCACAGTGGCCAGGTTCGACCCTGGTGTGCCATGCCATCCCTGCTCCCAGGACGCGCTGAGACTGTGAGGTGATTGAGACTAGGTGTGCTGGCCTGTGCCTGTAATCCCAGCGCTTGAGAGGCTGAAAACAGGAGAATCACTGAGTCCAATCTATGTATTGAGACACTGTAGACCCTGTACTAAATACATTTTTTAAAAATGGCATCAGGGCTGTGGGAAAAAAGGAACCCTTTTCCATTGTTAGTAGGAGTGTGTACTGGTGCAACATTGTGGCAATCAGTGTGATTTGTCAAGAATCTAGGACTAGCGGTTCCCTTTGATGCAGCTATTCCCCTTCTTACTGTCTTCCTAAAAAAATTGAAGGCATCGTATCCGTGACATGTTTTTTTTTTTTTTTTCCATTTCTGATTTCTTTTATTATCTGTAACTTTTGGAAACTAATCACGTGAGAACTACAAAATTAGCAAATGTCTTTTTTTTTTTAGCAAATGTCTTGAAATCTGTATATAAAACATAAATTACCTCTAATTTCAAACTCTCACGTATTTATATACCACTCAATTTAAAAAGAAAAATGAAAAAACAAAAGCAAAAGTGGCTCCAAAGATAGTCTTACACCATTCCATAAAAAATGAAACTATTCCTTTTAACTTTACACCCACCTCACAGCCTAATTCAAAACACATCATTTAATTGTCTTGGTCATGGACATTTCCAAGATGAGACCTTATATTTCATTCCCATAGCTTGTGGTCATCAGAAAACCCATGCTTCCCTTTATTGAAAGAGTTGGGTCCGGCTGATGTTGGTGTACCCCTTCCAATATTTCTCATCCTCATCGTTACTTCTGGAGGCATTTCGTTTAGTTCACTGTCTTCATCTTCATTAAAAGCTGCTGTTACTGAAAGGGGTTTTGGGGCAAGAGTTGGAACAGTTTCTTTAGGCTTGCCTGATCCAAGTTTGATGGATATAGCTGATGCTTTCTTTGTTGTCTGACTACCTATGGCAGATCCAAATTTGGAGATCTTTCTGTTCTTTGTTGGGAGGTCTGCAGCTTCTTCAGCTGATGGCTTCTCAGCTAGGTGACTGGAACCTTCCCCTCCATTACTGGAAGAAACAGTCTTAGTTTTCACAGGTTTTTCTGCTTCTTCTTCAGGCCCTCCAGCAGCTCCAGCTTGCTTGGACTGCTCAGGCTTCTCCTCTCCCATCTTTCCATCTGCCATTTTCCTGGCCATGGCGACATGTTTTTAAAAGAAGGAGGCCAGGGATATAGATAGCTCAGCGGCGTAAGCGTCTGCCTAGCAAGCGCATGGTCTTGAGTTCAATCCCTGGTTCCGAAAAAAAAAAACCTAAGAGCATTCCCTTTGGGGCCGGGGAGATGGCTCAGCAGAATAAGCGCTTGCCTGGCAAGCACAAGGGCCTGAATTCAATCCCTGGTTCCGCCAAAAAATAAAAAAAATTAAAATAAACAAAAAATAAAAGATGAAATAAAATGTTTAATTGACTGCACATTCTCACTGGAATACAACTACAATCTTTTTAAACAGACATTTTAAATTGTTTTGGTAATATGACTAGTAATAATTTTGATATTATTATTCTGAATGTATTCTACATATAATAAATAATGTATTCTATTAATAGTCTTAGAAGCCAAGACTTTCATAAAAGCCAAGTCTTTCAGTCCAAAGGTCATACAAAAATAAAATCAAGTAACTTAAACAGAAACATTGTAATTCTAAGTTTGAACTTAATAAATTCATGGTTTTCTGTTACTGAAGAAAAGAAATATCAACTCTATCAACTAAAAAGAAATAAAATTGTTGAAAATCTAATTGTAATTAACATCTCTCATATCTAAACTGAGGTCTATAAATACCATTTTCTGTTATGGGGAACAGAAAATCTAGGCTTTAGGTAGAAATGGTCACTTCTCATACTGATGCAAAAATATGTAAGATGAACCTTGAACAACAACAACAAAAATACCAATGATTATTGGGGTTCTGTGTAAAAGAACCTGGAGCCATCTTAAAATGGAATACTCTTAGTTTCAGAAAAATATGGCAAGAAGGGGCAGGGGAGATAGTTCAGTAGAATAAGGGCTTCCCTGGCAAGCATAAGGGCCTGAGTTCAATCCCCGGTTCCGCAAAAAGAAAAAAAAAATTAAAATTAAAAAAATAGAAAAATATAGTGAGAATGAACTGAAATCCATAAAACATGTCAAATTTTTTGAGTTTATGATGACTAAAGAAAAAATAAACACATGGTTCACCTTTGGAAGATGCTGGGAATGAACATCTCTGTAGTCAAAAGATAACATTTCTCATTAATCGATTTCAGGCTTCAGTGAATCTTCTGTGTGGTTCTGGTATAATTCTGATTTCAGTAAAATAGTTCATGCTTTTTGTTGTCATGCTAAGTCAATTGATCTCAATAGGTTACATAGAAAATAAAGACAGAAACAAAACAAAAAAAAAAAAAAAGGAGAGAAATATATAGACTTCTGGGTAGATGGTAGAGTTTGGAGAGCAGAAAAACATCCTCTCTGTGATTTGGTGCCCAGAAGCTGGAATATAGCAATAAAGAAGAGGAACAGCAGGGAAGTGGGTCTCAGGACCCAGAAAGGATCTGAAGTGAGGATTAAAGCCCATGGGCATAGTAAACAGAGAAACTTCAGTGAAGGAGGTGGTACGTGCTGTTTTCCCTCTGACCCCTAACTCACTGCGTAAGGGATGGCTCTAATTTGCAGATGTGAAGTGGCTACTAGTGACCCTACAGGCCTCTACAGAGAAACACACTGGTGGAATGGGACAGTGTACACAATGGACTGCAGTGCTGGTGAGTTATTCAGGTCTGGACATCCCCCAGGAAAGGGTGATTTGTCAGTAGCCTTCCTAGACAGAGGCCAACGCTCTCGGGATGCAGAACAGCTTCAATACTGCTCCATATTTTGCCCAGTGTCAGGGTGAGGGAAAACCCAGTTCAAGTCAGCAGGAAGTCAAACAGGCAAATTTAAGTTGTCAGGAAGCACACAGAATGTTGAGGATTGAATATATCGCATTTCAGCATCACAGCCAGAAAATAGCCTCTGGAGACTGTCCATTTTGGCTACCAGTGATAGTAAAGACATTCCTTGAAGTGGACATTTTTATTGTCTCTCATCTTTCTTTTCTTTATTTCTTCATTTTTGTTGTCATTGTTCTTGTTTTTATATGAGTGTAGTCTTAGTTGCTTTTCTCTCATTGCTGGGACAAAATACCCAGCACACAAAATTAAGAGAGCAAAGGTTTATTTAGCTCCCAGTTTGTAGAGGTTTTAGCTCACAGTTTGCTGGCTTCAAGGCAGAGTACCACATGGCAGAGGGTAGCCATTCATGGTGGCAGAAAACAGCAAAGAGCAAAGGGATGAGCAGCAGTTGAGGCTGCTAGCCAGCCTCTCTCCCATCCTTACATTTGTATGCAGATTACCTGCCCTGGGGCAGGTGTAGCACTAACACTCATAATCCCAGCATTGGAACAAGAATTAATCACAAACTCCACCCCATGACTGCATGAGACTTTGGGGGAATACCTACACACAAACAATAACAAGTATGAGCATTGTTGTCTAGCTTTTTATTTTCTCTTCTTGTTTTTATTTCTTGCTTCTCTGTTTAACCTCCTGTCTTCTGTACTATTTCCCTAAAATTTAAATAATGTTCATTAGTCATCCAGCTGTGCTCCTAATCTCTTTCTCTTCTTCTATTTCTCTATTATATCTCACTAACCTTTTAAAAATTTATTCCCTGAGGATAAAATTACAACAATGAAAGCATATTTACTGTATAGAATTTTTTGGTTTGCTTGAGATTTTGTTATACACATAGAAATCTATTTCATACAGTGAAAGGTAGCAAATTAAAAGTTACCTCGAGTAGTCACTTTGTAGGCTGAATTTCATGCTATTGCTACTTGTACTACTTTACCCAAGGTAGCATAATTGTTCTAATCAGTTGTTCTTCCTGGCCAAAACTGAGATTGCCTATGGTTCATAAACATTGATATTGGCCAATGCTAAAGAAACAGGGGATAGGCCAAATAGGCAGAAAATTCTTATTTCCAATAAATTTGAAGTGAGAGGATCTTGCAACACACTCAAAACTTAAAATCCAGCCATATCTAGAAACATCCCTAAGAAATAGTCATTTCCTAAGGATTCTAACTATTAACAATAAAACTATTGGCCACAAGCAATTTACAAGCATCAATACAGGGACTAATCTTAAAAAAAAAATAGAAAATTACGGGACAAACAAGAGCAACCTAAGACTTCCAAAGTCCAATGTAGGGGACAATGAGATGGAACATTTTAAAAGCCACCAACCTGGACTCTCTGATGTGGTAACAATGAAAGTGCAAAAGCAAATGAATGAGGCTCTAGAAGAAAAATCAAATAAGAAATAATTTCTCAAAGGCTCGGAGATAGCTCAGCAGACTAAGCAGCACTTACTTAGGCAAGCACAGGTACCGGAGGTCTATCCCAGGTACCATATGATGCACTGGTCTCACTCCCACAGGCATTGAGCTGACCATTGAGTCCTGGCATGGTGGTGCACACTTGTAATCCTAGTGCTAGGGAGGCTGAAAACAGGAAGATCACTAAGAGGAATCCGAGCTGCGTAGAGAGACTCTGTACCAAATACATTAATAATAATAATAACAAATAATAATTAATAATAATTTCTCAGATAACAACAGAGATGCTGGCTATAATATACAGTTAATGAGTCTAGAATAGATACAGATAAAAAATTAGAGTAGTTTAGGAAGATGATGGAAGCAATGAATACCCAATATAAGAAAGAAATGGAATCAATGAAACAGATTCAGATATCTAGCAGACTAAAAATTGCTGCATTGAAAGTATACACAGCACAATGAGCCAATGTGGGGACAGACTATCAGATAGACAAGACAAAATCACATTTAGCAGCAATGAAAATAAAGATTTAAGAAACAAATCATCTATGAAGGAAAGCCCATCAAAATCACAGCAGACTTATCAATGGAAACTGTCAATCAAGGAGAGCTTGAAATGAATTATTTTAAGCCCTAAAAGAAAATCTCCAATCCAGATGATGTAACTTGCAAAACTATCTTTCAAAAATGATGGAGAAAGATGATACTTCCATGACAAAGAACACCTGAGGAAATTCATGACCACCAAACCAGCACTCTAAAATGTTCTGAAGGATATTTTAGAAAGAGGTAACAAGGACCACAACTCCATGAACCCCAAGCTTAAATGAATCTACCAGGTAAGGGGAGTAATTAAACAGAGAAGTAAAAAGGGAACCAAGAAGAAGAAAATAAGATGACAGTGAGAAGTCAATACATATGAGTTATAACTACAAATGTTAAAGGTCTCAATTCACCAACATGACAAAGAGAAGTTACTATATGTCAGTTAAAGCCATCAATGTTTTCATTTCCTTTTTTTTTTTATGTAGTTCAGGCCGGCCTTGAGGTCATTATATATCCCAGGTTTGCCTTGAACTGGCTATGATCTTCCTACCTTAGCTTCCCAAGTGATGGGATTGCAAGTGCCTGTTCTATTTGCAGACAAAATGTATTTCAAGCCAAGTTCTGATTAAGAGACACCAAGAAGGTCACATATCCTTGTAAGGGAGACAGCGCAAGAGAGAGATAACAATCACAGATATATGTGCACCAAATACCAATTGATCCATTAATATTAACAAATATTAATGGATGTAAAAAATCAAAGAAACACTACAATCATAACTGGATACTTTAATATCCCACTGTCACAAATAGATCAACTATACAAAAAAAATCAACAAAGAAATATTAGAACTGAACCAAACCTTTCAACAAATAGATTTAGTAGATGTCTACAGCATTACCCCACAAAATCAGAGTGTACATTTTTCTCAGGTGCAAGGACCATGGCCTATTTATTTTATTTTACTTTTAATGTATTTAGTGCAGTGTCTACAGGGTCTCACTACACAGATCAGGCTCATAGTGATCTTCCTGTTTTCAGCCTCCAAGCGCTGGGATTACAGGTGTGTGCCACTGCACCGAATCTCAATTGCCATCTCAGCACCCCCGGGGGTAGGTGGGGATGACAAGGCACGTAGGGATGGCCTATTTTTTAAGATAGATTACATACTAGTTCACAGAATATACTAAAGTAAATGGAAAGGAATTGAAATTAT